AGGAAGCTGAGAGCAAGGGGCATGAATAGGGGGAGGGGTGGGGGGGGGGGGGGGGGAAGGGCATGAGCAGGGGGGGGGGGGGCAGGTGATCGGAAGAACGGAAAAGGTTTTTTTTTATTATATTTATTTTTTTTTATGGACCTGCACTCGTCAAACTGGGCGATTAACCTTGGAGACCGTTATCTGGAAGCACCGACATTTACGAGGTCGAGCCCATCTTGAAACGGGCACAAGATCTGAATCACCGAAGAACCGAATGGGGTCGTTAGCACGAGGAAACAAGGAGGGGGAAGGGTAATTCGGTTCCCGGAAATTCATATGTGGAGCAGCTTCATTATTATTCAATCTGAGTTTCGCTTCTACGTCTCGTTTCGTTCGCAGGAGGCGAACGAGATGAAGGAGAGGCCAAGAATCGAGCCCATTACGAGCGCCGAGTGCAGGCGGACGGAGGAGGATCGAGCACGCGTCCGACAGCGAGGGAAAGCGCAACGTGGAGGTTTGAACCTGCTCCCCTCCCCTCGGCGACGTGGAGGTTGGAACCTGCCGCTCTCCCCCAGGGAACCGCGGCACCTGCAGGATGCAGTCGGAGGTCTTGCGACACCGTGCGGTCGCCTATAAGTATCCCCCATCCTCCATCCCCACTGCGCAGTCTCCCTCGGCACCCGGCCGCGGCAACACGTTCGTGCCTTCGCCAAATCTCCTCTAGGGCTAAGTCATTCCTCTGCTCTTTCTTTCTCCCAGTTAAGGAGGAATAGCATACTTCTTAACTTTCCTTTTTTTGTTGGAAGGAGATCACCTCTGCGAAGGAGGTAGTTTCGTTTTCACGTCTCGACGGGAAAAAATCGCTCGTTTCAGTTGAAGTCACCAACGGAGCATTCCAGTCTGCTAGTCCGTGTGCACCATGTTCGAAAGTTGGGAATTACATTCTCTGTTTATTCTATGGATATTTTCGGTCTGAAATTCTCGCTACGACTCCATGAACGTCATGCGAACGAATTGCCGTGCCCTTTCCATTCAGGTTTCAGTTCTAGATTAGGAGCGACCCAAATGGGAAATTATCCGCTTTGTGATTTTCGATGCGTGAGCTTCGTTAAATTGCGTTTGTATGCAGTTAAGGAGACCTTCGAGACTGATTTGGATCAATAGAGTTTCTCGAGATCGATCCTAATTTTCACACCTGAAATTCTGATTCACCATGACGTCATCGGGGCATGCTCTCGAGAACTCTCGTCCAGGCCGTACCGCTCATATCGATGTTTATTTCCAGGTGAGACATTGAGCTCTCGGCGAGAAAGAAAGAGAGAAAATGAATCCGCTTTGGGTGGGCCTGGTGTGCTCGCTCGCCCTCGTGAGGGGCCAGGAGTCGGTCTGCGACCCGACGACGGGGTCGATCTACGACTTCTCCGAGGAACTCCTCGATGGGTCCGAGATCGTCGACTTCGGCGATTTCGCCGGGAAGGTCGGTTTATTTGCATCTTCGGCGTGGAAGGACGACTCGGATCGAGACGACTTCGTTTCGTCGCAGGTGGTGATGGTGACGAACGTGGCGACCTTCTGAGGTCGGACCACGATCTCCTACACGGAATACAACGCACTCCAAGCGCAATTCGGGGAAGACCTCGTCATCCTCGCATTCCCCTGTAACCAGTTCGGATACGTGAGTACCGACTCGCATCGACACGACCCGACCTAATTATCGATAATCGATTACGAACGACCCTCGATCCCCAGCAAGAGCCGGGGGCGACGGCGACCGAGATCTTTAACGGGATCACGCAAGTCCGCCCGGGGGGTGGCTACGTCCCCCAGTTCCGTCTCTTCAAGAAGGTGGAGGTGAACGGCAGCGGGACCCATCCCGTCTTCGCCTTTCTCAAGGTCCGGTTTCGTTTCTCTGATGGCATCGTGTCAACATCTTGTCGGTCTTCGGGCGACTCCACTCTCATTTTGTCAAGAGACTGGGGAAAACTCAAAGAAAAAACTTCACTTTGAAAACACTATTTCGAGGAAGAAAATTTGTTTTTCACACAATTGGAACTTTCTCATTTGACCTCATTCAAGTGTGAGACTGTTCATAGAATTATACATGAAAATATTTAATTGCAGTTTTCAAAAAATCGTGCGGAAAAGTTGAGACATCCGCCAATTTCAACCATGTAAAATTAAATATTTTTTTGGTAGGAACCCAAAAATTTCTTAAAAAGGAAAAATACTGACTCGTCCTGATTATGCATTGCCATGGAAAATATCCGTTGTTTGCTCAGGGGACTTGTCCGAGCACGACGGACGAATTCCTGTACAAGAGCGAGCTGTTCTGGGACGAGTTGAACTCTCGCGACCTGAGATGGAACTTCGAGAAGTTCCTCATCGACAAGACTGGGAAGCCCTACAAGCGCTACCACCCGGGCGTGGACCCCATCACCATGGCGCCCGAGATCCAGGCGCTCATCGAGGCCTGATTCCATCGTGCGTGTCGAGAGGGGCGTGAGGTCGGAGGAGCGAGGGCGGGGAGAGTCAGGAATGACGAGGCGCCCTTAAACCGAATCTCGGTGGGGAGTTTCCGATGATGCGACGAGGTCACGTGACGCCCGGATCGCAGTCTCTTTTTGGAGTGCGGGACCGCGAATACAGGTGTCGATTCGACCGAGTTACCCTCGGGCTCTCGCCCTTTTTACTCCTCCTCCTTTTCCTCTCTCAGGAAATACAATGGCAGAAATTGAGAAAAGCAAAATCCACCTGGAGTTCATTCATTCTTGTTTCACTTTCCGTCCCCGAAAATCTCTCTAAGTCCATCCTTCGCATGGATCCACAGTAAAGAAAACCTGAGGCTTCCAGAATGAATATGGTATCGCGCACCATCTGCTCTGGAGGTCTGACTTCGTGGAATCGTCGGAATGGATGGTCTTGGTTCTCTCGGGCCCGGGAAGACTACACCTCCATCGCTCCTTTTGCTTGACACTAAGGCTGTTCCGATTATTGCGACATCGCGATATCGTTCGATGTTTCTTTCATCGGCGATACGCCTGCATATCGGGATGATTTAATTTTGCAAAATAT